TTATTTTTAATTAAAAATAAATATAATCAATAATTCTTTTTAAACATTTTCTTATTTTTTTTAAATTGAAAAATCACTGACATAATATCTTTTATTTTTAATTAAAATAAATATTATCAATAATCTTTTTTAACTGTAAGTACTTTTTTGATATATTTGTTTTATTTTATATAATGTAAGTACTTTTTTGGTTCAAAAAATGTTTAGAGACTTTAATAACGCTCAAAATATGAATGTTCATTGGCCTTTTTCATATTTTTTCAATTATTTTACTACGTTAATTAGTTTTATAGGTTATAAGAATGTATATAACAAGTTTTAGAAAGTCCAAGGAGTTGTTTAACAGGTTTTAGAATGTCCAAGGACTTATTTGTTTCAAAAAATTGTCCAAAGACTTAATCATTCCAAACACTAAAGTCCATTGAGTTTTTTTATACTTTTCCATAAATTGTACGTAAGTACAACTTATTAAAGTTTCATGTTTGAATTCGTATAACTAACTACGGATAAACAAAATCAAATAGATAATAAACATCTCATTTTAAATATAAAAAATTTAAAATATAATTAAGATAATAATTGAGCTCTAACAAAATACTTAATTATTATCTTTATGAAAAGAAATATTATTAAACTAAAAATAAAAAAAAATGAATTAAAAAAATACACAAAAAAAGAGAGATTTTAAATAGTTAGTTTGGTACCCATATCAATATTATTTTTTCAATTTTTTATGATATAGCATTATATTTATATTTTATCCAAAAAAAAAAACCATTATCGTTTTTTTAAAACCATATAAAACCGTATTATAACATCGACAGAGACAAAATAAAAATAAAAAATATATATTAAAATTAAGATGTATCTCACTGTATTGTGCGAGTACCCTTATAGTATATATTAAATATATCCATTATGCATACACATATATGTTTATCTTATTACTCAATAATATTGAACATTTCAATTTCATATTAAAAAAGAAAAATTATATATTGATATACAAAACCTACAAAAACATAAAACTTGGAAATTAAAAAAGTACATTCGCCATGGCACACCTTGAAGGATGCGTTAAATACGACAGGGTTCACACATCTCGTTGCTGTCATGACAAACCTTTTAAAACACTACTTTAAACCCGCGATTGTCAAACACATTACGAACGCATTAAAAAGGTGCGTGTTAGACTTGCGGTTAAGAGGGTGTACGTGTTTCAGCCGTTGAAACAAAAAAATCACTGAAGACATGTTCAACTCAAGGATGGATTTATATAGGAAGAAGAGATAAGAAAAAAATTAGCATCCTTGAAGGCGCATCCGCTTTAATATTATGTGTACTTCTATAAGTTAACAAAAGTGGATCGTAGCCTAATGATAGTGCCATTGTAAAAAACAGATAGACGTCACCCTCTGAGGCCCCCCCACCGCATCGGTCCCACGATCGTCATGGGGAAGGAATTCAACACATACCTCTCATTGGCAAAGAATGATGTCTAGGCTCGAATTCAGGATCTCACTCAAATGGAGTACACCAACACCTCTACCATTTGAACAGATGAAATCCCTTTTAACCCTTTTTTAATTTTTTGGTACCAACAATGAAACAGACAAATAAAAGAAAAACCACTTAGGTGTTGCAAAAACCAATTCTATGTCATTTTTAATCAAACCGTACTTTTTATAACTAAATTTGTTTTATTCTATATTATATTCGAATATTTTGTGCCTCCACTAAATTTTTTTCTGGATCCGCCTTCGGATTAGACCTTGATCCAGAGAAGGATTCTCATCCACCCTCCATTCGGGTTTGGAGTTTTTTCAAAGGCGACAAATGATTCTACTTACGTTGAGAAGGGTTTCTTGGAAATGAGAATACAGTTTCTATCAAACAATGAAATCGACAATCGTAAGAGAAGTCGGTCTCATGATGGCGTTCAAGTGTATTTTTGGGAAGTCATTTGGACAAGATTCCGGCAGCATTTAGTGGTAGCCACAGTCAAAAGAGAAGCATTACCAAACAAAAAAACACAGTATTACCCCACTCGAAAGTAGGGTCTACAGGATCTGGGGTGAGATGTCCTTTACCTAGAGGGAAGGGGGGTTGTTTCATGAAGACACCCGACTTGCAAAAAAGTGTAAGTGAAAAGGACTGTATAATGGGTGCCAAATGTTCGAGATGATGAAGGGCAGAGTATATCTCATAGGTCTAACTCTGAATAGTATTTCCAATGATCAGGTGAATTGCTTCTATTAGGAAGCAAAAGTTTGAAGAACTGCTCCAAGGAAAAATATAGTTATGAGCGCAGGAGCAATGTAAGGGTGCTTTTGGTACACAGTGAGTGAGATAGCAACGTGGAAGGTTTTAGGGTTTTAGTTTGACATGGGTAGTTTAGTAATTTACAAATCTTGTCCCACTCCCTAATTTTAGTTCCACTTCTTTTGAGTGTAACAAGAAATGCATTTTCGTCCCATTCAGTCCCGTCTTATGTTTAGTTTTTTACTAGATACAACGGCCAGCCTAGGAATTATATGGCTTCGATCCTTTCTGCACTGAAATATGGGATGAAATTCTTCAGGTGTGTGGTAAGGTGCTTATGGCAATGACTTCCATTGTATCTTTGAATTACTGACTACGAATTTTGTGCTTCGGGGGAGAGGGGTAGGAGATGTGCGAATTTACTCTTTTTTGTTATAATAGATCAGGGGCGAAAATCAAAACTTATAAATGCAGAAATCAAGCTAATAATCTAAAGCAGAACCTATGTCTTAAGCCTGCAAGAGATGTGATGAAAGAAAATGGCTGCAAGAGAGATAAAGGAGGTGAGGGAAGGCAACCTAACAAATTATCTTTCCTTGATAGTTTACACCATTGTAATCTCCCTTATCATTAAGGGTAAAATTGTTATTTAGTTGATGAAAAAGTACGATGATTACACATTTCTAAATCTGTGTCTTTTTGATTGTGGGATAGATGGAGTATCCTTTAGTTTAAACTAGAAGGCAGGCATATTATTTTCTTTCGGAGGTCAATGTTCTTTTGATTCCTAACTTTATCCTCACATTTGGCGGCTCTTCCATCATCAAATCCAAATATTAATAATTGTATAGCAGCAATGAGTGTTTTGCATATGGATATCACTGCTGCAACTAGAAACTGTTCTTGTTTTAGGTATTGCATTTACAGACTAACAGCAGTTGACAAACGTAATGGATGACAGGACGAGTAGATGCAGTTGTCTCAACATCTGCACACAGTGGTGTAAATAACCAAAGGCATTACCAAGGTTTTAAAAGCAGAATCGGGTGTCGAGGCGTTTTCCATCCATGCTCTGAGGCGTAAGCCCAGAGGCGGAAATGAGTCGGACAAATGTCATCGTGGCACCAGCAGAATTGTGAATTTCTGATGGAGCCTGTAAACATATTAGTCTTGGAACTAGGCTCAATGCCATACAAGTGCATAACATTGATCAATGCCATCATCTAATATTCAAAGATAAGCTCAAATTTCTCAATGTTTAATCCAAATTGACTTCAAATTCAACTACACTGCCAGAAAATGGCACAAAAACCTAGTTCTGGCTACTTTTAAATTTTGATAATTCAATCAGGTACCTTTCAAAATACTTAAAAACATTGACATCTTTGGTTTTTTTTTGCTCCTCAACTTTCATACTGTAAACGATTCTAGTTGTTTTGTTTATGCATCAAACTTTTATCTATAACAAAACTAAAATTTCATCATTTTGATCCTCAAATAAAAGTCCGGATAACAACTTTAGGATAAGATTGAAACATACGAAAGATAACAATAGATAGCATCAAATCGAAAGGCATAAATGATTTCAACGAGACTTCATCTTCTAAATCATGTCGAATTGCCGTTTATATCAAGTTTGGGAAGGACTCTTCTCGTTTTTCGTTCAATTTCAAAACAGATGACAACATAATAAAATTAATCAGAAGAAATAAACAAAGAGACGGAAGACGTACGAAATCAGGTGAAACGAACATCGAAACGAAGAGATATGGTGGAACAATCAGACAATCTTGGCGACTGTGGAACTGGAATCAGCAGAAACGTTGTGATCTGAAGGAAGAGGGTTAGGATTAAGAGGTAGGGTAGGGTCGTCGTCGTCGGGATCGTAATCAGGATTGAGATTACGATCAATTGCTTCACGGCCTTGCTCGAGGCAGGGCTTGCAGGCGATTTCGATGGTGATCCAGCCTAACGCCAATCCAACTATGGCTATCAGTGATGCCGTCAGTGCCCCCATTGATGCCTTCCCTCTCTCGTTTCTCTGCACTTGCTTTTTCTACTGTCGGTTGGACAAATTGGTTTTCGTCACACAATGGGTGTTGGCTGTTCTAACCAAATACTATAGAAGGAAATTAACTCAAAATAGTAATTCCCCTGAAGCAAAGGTTGTTTGAAATTGCTTATAAAAATAATTTATTGATTTATTTTGATATGTCATTCGTAATAAGTATTTTTGAGTGTTTGGATAAACAACTTATATCGGTGCCAAACTGATAATAAGAAGTTTTTGAAAAAATTAAACCATTCTGACTTTTAATAAGTTGATAAGTACTTTTATAGAAAAACATAATTTGTTTCAAATAAGCAATCCCAAACACACTCTAAATTGGCATTTGAGTTTTTATTATTATTATTATTATTATTATCAAATTCTATCCAGGTTCATGATTGTGACGGTCGAATCCGCAATTACGACAATCAAGTCTGTAATTACGACAGTATCACTTGTTAACCTGATGAAATCTGAATTTTCTGTCTTTTAGCCACGTCAGCAATATTACAGATGTAGATATTGTGGACGTAATGACATTTGTGTAAAGCCGACAGAAGAATGATTAACATACCAATCTGTATGAGTCAAATGACTATTTGAGTCACTTTCCCTACTATAAAATATACAAACCATAAAATATAGTTTCCCTTAAAAATAAATATTTACGGTAAAAATGACAAAAAATTTAAAAATATGTAATTATTTATATTCTTAAATAACTAAATAATAATTTTACTTTTGATAATAATAGGTAAAAAAAATTCATCTCATAACTAAAGAGATAAAAATCACTTGTCCCATAATAACACAGTTTCAAACATGTCTCTTATACTAAAACACAACAGATTTTCATTTATTTAGTTCATATTTCTTTAATTTATCTGCTTACGTGTATTCATTTAATTTATGGATATGTATGTGATATTAAAATTTGGGACATGTGATTTTTATCACACTTACTGTTAAAAATAGATACTTATTTTGAGATAAACTAAAAGATAACTATAGATAGTTGGATGTCGTTTACCAAATGCTTACTCGGGTAAGCGCTTACCAAGTCACTTTTATTTTACCGGATGAATATGACAAGCACTAGGAATCTTACCCGGTAAGAGCAAAGACAATAATCTCGAGTCTTACCCAGTAAGTGAAGACGAGGACTCTTACCATGATTAGCGCTTACCGAGATAAATTGTTGCATACGATGCATTTTAGTGAATAAAATCTTGCTCGGTAACTAAACGATATTGTTGAATTTAACGCTAAATGCTTACTAGGTAAGTGTTTAGGTAAACGACCCTTAATTTGGGACGGAGGTTAATTGTACACTTATTTATTTTGGTTTTTATCTCAAAACAAGTTCCAATTTTTAAAAGTAAAAATTTATTTTCCTCATTGTGTTCTAAATTATAAGATGGAGAAAATTTCTTTTTCTATCATTGGTAAAATTGTCATTTGTTTAATTAAAAACTGTAATAATTACACAATTATAAAACCATTTTCTATTTTTATTTCATATATTTATTTTTGGACAGATGAAGTAATTTTAAATGAAGTCTATGATCAATTGTATTAAAATGCATATGTCTGCTCCTTCCATTTTATAGGGGTTCAAACCTCATTAAAGGTGAGTTGGGTGTGTGAGTTTATTTGTTGCATTTGACGTATGTAAATATTATATACTTAAAAAAACCATGAGATACTTCATAACTCAAAAGAACAATAAGTAGATCATCAATTAACAGTAATATATTAACTATAGAAACACAAATAGATAACCATAGCGAACAGAAGCAACTAACAATAGCCAATATAATTAGATAAAAATAGCAAACAAAAACAAATAAAAATTAACATGTGATTCTACAAAATCTGAAAAAAGAGAGACTAATTTAAAAATTCTATAATGAATCAAATAAAGAATAAATTCCTTTATAAATATCAACACTTGTGTTTGTTTAGTTAAATGAACGAACATGAACAATTGTCTTCTTCATTCATTTACGTTTGTGAACGTTCGCTCACTTTTATTCGTCAATGTTTGTTTACATTTGTTTATATGTATATATATATATATATATATATGTAAGTTATTATATGTCTACGACACGTGTCAGATGGATACTACTAGGGGGGGGGGGGTTATGTAAACCTACATGGCTGCACACAAAGAATATGTTTGCTTGCATTTAAAAGTAACCCGGAAATTATGTTTGACAGTTAAATAGTTATTCTTGAAGAATAATTATAAATATGTGTTAAGTGTAATTAATATAATTATAGGGTTTTATCTGTAAATATGTACAATTATTAATGTTTTAGATAATTATATAAATATCTACAAATAAACATTAACACCTTATATGAGTTGTGCTCTATCTGAGATACCTGTCAATATAAATAGGTTGATTCGATTCTCTGAATTTGGTTATCAATCTAAATACACATATTTAGAATTAGGGTTCTTTTAAGCTAGCACCCGGTGGAGTATCTACGTGTATTTGTGTGTGGATTAACTGTAGAAAAAATCCCGCTCGGTTTTTAAGTGTTGCATCAGATTTCTTGCTAGATCCAAAGGGTACGTACCTAAACACCCTATGGTGTGTTATAATTTAATTAAATGACTCATTGGATTCGGCTATTGGTTTTATGTATTAGAAAAGCTTTCTAATTATTGTAACCAAAATATTTGATTCGACTTTCCGTTGCGTTCTAAGGTTGCAACATTGCACCAAATCCCAACAATATATTATGACATTAATATGCGAAATCGTTAATTAAATTTTTAGAATTCTTTTTTTACCTCTCCTATTTATCCAGTTTTTCAACGAACGAAATGATGAGTAATGGTGGGTGCTTTTAATACATATGTGTTCGTTTGTTTATGTTTGTTTATATTCATTGACCGTGGGAGCTTGAGAAATCCTTAGAATTGACAACAACCTATGTCCATATATCAAGAAATATAATAATAAAATCTACATTACAAAGTAGCTACCAAATTTTTCCACAAAATCCCTATAGAAAACTTGTATACATAACAAGTATTCCAAAAACTGAAGATAACACACCATTCCATATTCCATGCAAATAAATATAATTCTTCACAATTTTCCTTCTCCCTTATCCTCTAATTGTGCCCGACCTATAATGCAAATTTTCAAAACACCAGAAATGAAGGTTAGACCTTGAGGTCAAGTGAGAATTTCCTTTGTTTGCTATTACAGGGTGAATAAATACCAAATCATATTTACAAAGTCATATTTGTATCGGTAACAAATATTCCACATTTAAATATAACAAACCTCTTTTGTCGCATCAAAATGATGAGACATAAACTAATTATCGCATCAAATAATCAAACAACTCAGTTAACACATTAGGATAAAACTCATCGCATTATATGGTTAAAAATATAATTTTCTCACATCACATGGGTGAGACAACATCATTTCTCACAACACACGGGTGCGATGACTCTATCTCATCGCATCACATGAGTGCGAATAATCCACCAGACCCTCTAACAAAGCTTATGAGTCAAAACAAACATGATGCCCATACTAGTTCGATAGACTTGAGGTTTTGTAATACATTAAGGTTTTATCTGTAAATTTTAGTAAAATTTTAACTATTTGAAAAATGATACGGTTATGTTTTTATCTATTTTGGCATATTGGATATGAGTATTTACATTAAACATTTATGTGTTCATTATTAGCATGTTCAAGTATCCTTAGATAAATTGATGATCATATTATTTAAAATTGTACTTGATCGGTTTTTACCAGGGGACTGGTAATAAATAAAGATCATAGTGAAGTTTGGTTATAGTCCAAGTTGGAAGTGCATCGGATGAAACTAGAATCGCTTGAGTTCAAAACAAACTATTGTGAAGAAAAAGGAGAAGGAATGATACTACCATATGATTGATTGAATCAATCAGATTGCTCGAAGAAAGCAAATTTACATAGCCTTAGGGTCCGTGACATGTTGCTAAACGCTCACCACCTTCTGTGTTATTGTGTATCGTGTGCAAGTGGGAGAATGTAAGTTATTAAATGCCTATGACACGTGTCAGATGGATACTGCTGGGGGGCTGGGGAGTATGTAAACCTATAGAGTCACACACAAAGAATATGTTTGCTTGCATCTAAAAGTAACCAAAAGTCATGCTTAACAGCTAAATAGTTATTCTTGAAGAATAATTATAAAATATGTGTTAACGTGTAATTAAGATAATTATAGGGTTTTATCAGAAAATATGTATAATATTAATGTTTTAGATAATTATATAAATATTTACAGATAAACATTAATACCTTATTTGAGTTGTGGTCTATCTGAGATACCTGCCAATATAAATAGGGTGATAGGCTAAACCAGTTGGTTGATTCAATTCTCTGAATTTGATTATCAATCTAAATACATATATTTAAAATTAGGGTTCTTTTAGGGTAGCACCCGGTGGATCATCTACCTGTGTTCGTGTGTGGATCAACTGTAGAGGAAACCCGCTCGGTTTCTAAGTGCTGCATCATATTTCTCGCTAAATCCAAAAGGTACATCCCTAAACACCCAATGGTGTGTTATAATTTAATTAAATGTCTCATTGGATCAGACTATGAGTTTTATGTATTAGAAGCATTCTAATTATTGTAACCAAAATATTTGATTTGATTTAATTTTTTCCGCTGCGTTCTTAGGTTACAAAATTGCACCTAATCCCAACAACATATTATGACATTAATATGTGAAATCATTAATTAATTTTTTAACTCGTTTTTCATTTTGTTATGTTATTTCTTAAGAATGAAATTATGAGTAATGGTGGTTGCTTTTAGTATATTCGTGTTCGTTTCTTTATGTTCGTTCGTTTACGTTCGTTTAACATCTTAATGAAGGAACATAAACAAACACGGACAAATACATTTTCTTAATGAATGAACATGAACACAAAAAAATTCCGTTCATGTGCGTTCGTTTGTTCGTTTAAGTTAAACGAAGTAACAAGAACAAACCTCCGTTCGTGTTC